CTAGTACTACCACTACTACTACTAGTACTACTAGTACTACTACTACTACTACTACTACTACTACTACTACCACTACCACTACTATTACTACTACTACTACTACTACTACTACTACTACTAGTACTACTACTACTACTACTACTACTACTACTACTACTACTACTTGAAAGAACTCCCCTCCCCTCCTCTCGGAAATCCATTTGGTGGAGGCCAGATTCAGTCTCCAATTCCGGGATTTTCGGCAGAAGTGGAGTAAGAGGGATCCCTGTTTTCAACAAGCAAAACCCAGAGAACCCAATACCCCTTATTTAAGGAATATACCTTAAATCATAATGTTAAGGCCCCTATAATTCAAGGTATATTCCTTAATTAAGGGGTATTGGGCTCTCTGGAAAAGTACCGTCAGAAACCCTAAACTCTACACCGCGCGTATACAAGTGCCAATGCAGAGGATGGAGGCAGGAAAAACGCTCAGGTGGGGTCCGGTTCGGGGTTTCTGGGTTTCCCGCTTGATGAACTAAGCTGCCAGGACCCTCCAAGTACCTTCAAACAGGGATATATGGTCCCAAATTAAAGGTATTTAGGGTCTAATAGGTGCGTTTTCTACGCCTTTCTTAGGGGAGGTTGGCTTAGGTGTGAAGGAATGCTACAAAGGAATGCAGCCTGTTCTGTTGAGTCGCCGCGAATGTGGTGGACTCTTGCAGGCACTTGCAGTTTAGCGTTCCGCAGCTCGACTATACTCATATAGGTTGAAATATTGTAGCCCAAAGGGTCCAAGTAATAGTATAGTATATACTTTTGGGGCCCAAATACCTACAAAGTACCTACTATAATGGTACTTAGACCCTTTTGAGCCTCGATGTACCTGCTTACATACGTTGAGGGTCATATCCGCCATATGGGTAGTTTTCCAAACTAGGGTCCCTGTTGTGGGGCGTTGTTACAAGGGTGCCGTACTATATTGGGGATCTAAAAAGGGACCCCAATTTAGGGGAGCTACCCATATTCTTGTTCGAAGGTAACTTGTTGGCAGCTGGCTCGGTGTTTACGTCCGGCGTAGCGTGTGAGGTTTTGCAGAATATGGGGAATGCAATTCCGAAGAGATTTGCTCCTTCTCCTTGTATTCGAGGACTACCAGTAGATGCAAATGACTAGTTATCCAGCTTCTTGAAACCCTATGTACTTGTGAGGTCATAACCTGCTGTTTTGTAGGGGTTGGGGCTGCGCGTGCGGTTTAGAGGATTGTCGGCAGCGGCTGCACGCCGCAACATGTCTTGCAGGTATAATGGTAGCTATGGCGCCAATGTCCGGAGGGCTCCAGGTTCCAAGTAACAGTAACAGTATTGTATGTAAGTAATGGGTGTAGGGTTTAGGGTTTAGGGATATAGGTGTTGAGACCCAAATGTGTATTAACAGCTTCTGAATTGGTAGTTGGACCCAAGAATTTCAACACCTCTTGGCTACGATCCCAGGCGACGTCCCAACAAACAAGGACCAGAGATCCGATGTTACGGCCGGTTCTTCAAGACCCTAAACCCTAAACCCTAAATCCTTAACTTGGGCTTAAGCAGCGAAACCATCGAGGCTGGACAAGTTCGGGCTTTGGGCTTTAGGGGCCTAAGTTTGGGCTTATTAGGGTTTGGGATTTGCACTTTAGGCTTTTGGGTTTAGGGATTGGGGTTTCGGGCTTAGGATTTGGGGTTTAGGCTGGGGGCTTTACGGTTCGGGGTTTAGGATTCGGGGTTCAGGCTTGGGGCTTTAGGGTTCGGGGTTTAGGGTGTATCATCAGTGATTCGTCGGGTCAGCTTCTGAGCTCGGAATGCGAAGGGAGCAAAGCCCTGAGAGACCCGTCCTGGCTAAGACTTCGGGTTGAAATAAGCGAAGTAATATAGGGGCCTAAATAATCAGTACTATTTTGGGCGTTCCTTTTTCTAATTATGGTATAGGATACCCCAAAGCCCTATTCTAATTATTAAAGGCCTATACGAGGCTTCTCTTGGAAGCGTCATGATACGTGCATACCGGCAGTTTCTTTGTCTGTATACAAGCTAAGCAGTGCAAGCCCTGAATCAGAATGTCTGTCGCCATCTTGCGCCCTCAGGGGCCATCGTCAGATAGAGCCAAAACACGGTGTGCCATAATCGTTTGGGGGGCAATCAAGATCAGTGTATCTTGTACAGAGCTGATTATAGTTGTTGGTATCCATGCCAGAAGCCAGGAAGAACAGACTTTCGGGGCAGAGACAATGTATCATCGGCAGCTATGGTAGGCTGCTGCGTGCGCGCCAGGAAGCCAAAATTTCTTCTGGGACTGGTCATGAAACCCGCCATTGCTCGAGTTGTGCAGCATAGCCTAAACCCTAAATCCTAAACCCTAAATCCTAAACCCTAAACTCTAAATCCTAAATCCTAAACCTTAAACGTGAAGACGTGACATGAGGATCCTCTGTTCTGCAGGCAGTCGACAACATCGCCCCATTTAG